CTATTAACCAACCGGTAATCGATACATAGCCTGATGTCCACCCCATTATTCTTAATGATCACCACGATGGGGAAGCCCATGGTGATCTGGAATAGTTGATCATCTTGGCGGACAATAGACCCTTGATCAGATCTACTAGCTTCTCCCTGAACTGGATCCGCAACTTACGGCACTTAAGGGCGATGGGTCTCGCTCCCCCGACATCGATATCGCACAGCACACCTCTGGCTGCCGGCGGAAGGGCATTTCCTTTCCCGATCAAGAGAAATCTTCTGGCGGAGTCGCTCGACTTCCTCTGGAGTTTGATTATCAGATCCGCATAGTTGAATATCTTCGATCTTTACATCTTCCGTCGTCACAGGTACTTCGGGCAGCACCGCCATCTGATCATCGACATCTTCGGCGTATAGATCGCTTCCTTCATGGTAATACACGCATTCATCATAATCTTGGTCTGAATCCCAGGTAAGATCCAGATCCGATGTGCATGGTTGATCTTCCACAATAGGTGATGGATCCAAGTCCGTTTTTTTTTCGACATAGACGTGGTACACTTGTCGTTCAGTGGATCACCAGTCACATGTCCTGTCCCAGGCTGTACACTCGTCATTGATGGCAGATCCGACCCACCGCACTCCGACGGCGATGTTCCTTGATCTTGCGCCATCGGATGTAGTTGGTCCAGGCTGACGTCCTCAATTTCACCTCGGCTATCTTCTTCTCGCCGTCCTTCCATGTCTGTGGTTTTCTCCACCAGCGGATTAGTCGCCCATGTGTCCGGTGTCACTCGATCGCGATCTTCTGGCGCCTCCTCGACAGTTACGGCATGTGATATAGGGTCTTCGTCTGCGATAGACGATAGATCCGACTCTTCGCTCGCGACAGACGCTAGATCCAACGGTCGCATCACCGACGGCGACTTGTCCGGCGGCGACTCGTCGGAGGGTGGGCAGTCCGGAATATCTTGATCCTGACTTGCCTCGACTTTCAAACGCTGAATCAACGTTGCCTTCGGTCTTTGGAGTATTGCGCGCGGGGTTTCATACTCGGGCCGCTCCACCACGGTAACCAGCGGGTTCTTGACCTCCATTTCTTCGGATCGGGTGTCTGACGTAGCTTCAAACGCCAGATTCTGCCACTCCATGTAACGACGAGAGCCGATCGAGATAAA